AATCTAGCACCGAGTCCTACAGAGATGGGGCTTAAAATAAACATTCCTGGTTACGGTTCTAAAGAGCAGCAAAATTTGGCTGCTTTAAAACAGGCAAGAAACCACAGGAGGAAAATCTATGCATGGAATTCCAACCACATTCATAGCCAAACAGAGCTAATCTGAGCATCCTGAAATAGGGCGACCAGACATGTGAGATTCCGATAAGTGTTTCTATCTTCCTGTCATGTTTGATTTCTAGCTCTCGGCGGCAGCCATCCCAGGTGAAGCAAACCAGAGTCATAAGCACACTCCCTCTGAAGGGATGAGAGGGCCACTTCGACCGGAAGGCTCTGCCCTGGAGATCTAGCAACAAAACAAAAAAGAATGTGGTCCCTGCTAAGATTCTCTGGCATGTATCAGCCTACTATTTTTGATTTTGAGAGATTTTTCCAGAAAGTATTTGGAAGGGGATACCCTGGATCTGTGACAGCACTTGATGCGACTGTTTCAACGAGCACTGGTAAATGTTTCTAGATCCCTAATTATTCAGATCGCATTTCTAGGAAGAACACCACTGCTTTACAATTTCACTTTTTAATTTTAATGTCAGTGAGGGATTAGGCAGTAGAGAAGTTAGAGACAGACTGAAAAGAGAACAAAAAGCATTTCTCTCTAAACATGCCCTTTTCACTAACCTCCTTTCCCAAAAATTAAGGTCAGGAGTGAAAAGAGGGATGGAGGAAATAAAGTCTGTAGGACCATTGATGGGGACCGAGGCCACAGATGTGGCCTTATGAATAAGGGCATGCTCTAGAAAACGTCACTCTCCTGACCTGAATTTAGGAGTAAACGCCTCCCAGTTTACAAGAGTACTTGTTCAAACCACTACCAAAACCCCGAGGAGTGCAGAGGAGTTCAAAAGAGGAACGTTAGTAAAGGGTTCGCTTGGCAGAGAAGGAACTAATAAAACATTTTCCCCTTCAAAGCGCTTGGCTAATGTTTCCCAATTCAACTTTCAACTAAGGCAGCCATTAAGCGTCCTCATTTTAACAGACCAGTGAGAAAGATTACAATAAATGTGGGACTTAAAACAGCCAGGAACTCCTGTTCCTCCCCAGGCTTAAAGCTTCCAGGGGAGAAAGGCAGAGGGCCTCTGGCCTCAGGGGAGACTCGGTGAGCTCAATACTAGTTTTGTCTTTATCAGGATTTTATCTGTGAAATACCCCAAACTCACTGGGATAGCATGGAAAAGCAAACTGTATGGTGGTTTCCAGATCAGAAAGGGCACGGTGGTTAAGAAAACGCATGCAAATTTCTCTCTTTTTCCACTTTCCACCACTGAGCTCCTCTGTTTCGGTTTGAGCTCAGCAGCACAAGTGCCTTGGATAATCTAGAAATTGCTTCCATATGTGGGCACAGGAAAGAATGTTCTCATTGGCTATCTGAGAAAGAAGCTCTGGGCAGCCTCTCCTTCCTGCCAGAAAACATTTCTGGGGCTGAAGAGAGCCATTTGAGCTGAAGGAGTTCAGAGGGAGCATCTGCAACCTCCCTAACTTACAAATGAGGAAACTGAGGCCCAAGGTCACCCAGTGACAGAGCTGGAGCTGGAACCTCGGGCTCCCTGACTGCCTTTCTTATTTTGAATGCTCTTTGGCGTTTAGATTTGGTCTTATCTAAGAGTGTTGTTTATCTCAAATAGGTATAAATAACTAAGCAAATTATTGAACACAGACAGAGTGGGCTAGGTGGACTGCCATGCTGTGAAGCCCCTCACACACCCACGGTCCCAAGGCCAATGTCCAGGCCCCAGAGCCAAAGGGCTACCTGTTCTTAGTGGCTGCCCAGGGGAGCTTCTGAAGAGTATAAATTATCTTCAGTTCCCGCTCGTTCTTAGCTATTTTCTCCGGGGTCAAACCATGTGCAAACTTGAATGAATGTCTAAAATGCATAACAGTCAACTTGAGGTTAAATGTATCCACTTTTAGGGGTGTCTCCTTAGCACAAGTTCAAGTGACGTGACCTCATTTGGAGGAAAACCATCCTATTCAAGTATTTTTCTCTGTTGTCTTCTATTGTCTTTCCCTCTCCTTTCTACAAACCCCTGCTTCCCTGCCTACTCTCCCCTCCCCAGACCTCCCGGCACAAAATTGCTTGAAAGGAGGACCTATAGCTAATTTAGTTGGTAAATTGGGGTCTGTGCCGACAGGCCTAGGTACTGAAGGCCAGTACTTGGGGCCAGACACTTACAGGAAACCTAGTTCAGGGGAGCAAAGGGGCTCTTTTCACTCTCTGCATCGGGACCCACACCAGGTCTCAACACCCGGACCACTTCTCAGCCTTAATGGCCTGTTAGTGCAGGGTTGGTCCAGAACTTGAAACAAAGACTCTATTTAGGATCCAAGAGACAGTGGTCTACAAGCACCCTCCTCTCTACAGAAATCTCCCAACCCCAAACTTGGGTGACTGAAGCCTGAATCATATCACCTTGAGCTGCCTGACCCCGGGCGGGGGTGGGGGTCGGGGAGTGAACAGTAGAGATGCAGATACACAGTGGTGGGAAGTCAGAATGCACTCTCGTGTTCCCTGCTGAGCCAGGGCCAGCTCGCCCCACACCACTCTGACTTCTCATCTCCAAGCAAACAGCCAGAGCAACATGTCCCCAGGCCCACTTACAAGTCAAACCAGATAAACCTCAACTCCTTAAAGGCTTGCTTTGCAGAGGACCTGAAACCCAGATGGGGTTTAGCAGTTCTGCTCCATAACCTGAGCTTTGCTGGGAATTTCTTGTCTTGTTCTTATGCTACATTATGAATCGAGTGTGTGCCCTTCAAAAAATGCTTTATTAACATTACCATAGGTAAGTAGGCTTCTTACTAGTCTAGTTGCAAGGATTGATTAGGTAACCCGGTCTTTCAATAAGTATTTATTGAAACTTGTATATGAGACAGAGAACTAGGGGTGTAACACTGAGGAACATAACCTTATAGCATGGTTCTTTCTTCTAGGGAACTCGAGAGGACCTCAGGTTTATGCTTCATTATGCTTATGTCATTCTGTTTACGCTTCCATTTCACTATAAACCATATCAGATGGTAATTATTACATTCATTCAGCTAGGAGCACCCTTGCAATATGAGCAAGGACAATGAACACAGACACTCAAATGTTCTCTGTATGAGCAAAATTAAAACTCAGCCTCTTACTCCACTCCATCCATCAGTCATCGCCTCTTCTTCCTTCCTTATTCCTCCCTCACCATCACGGCCCCACCAACTTTTAGCGATGGGAAGAATGAGGAAAACCTCTCCTAGGACCATGAGCCCTGTGTTACTGGATCGCCTTCTGCAGCAATCTGCTGGTTTCTACATGCCCAACACACTTCTGTTTAAATCAGTATTTTCAAAGCTCAAGTTGCTGCCTATTCTCTGGCAGTCCAATCAATTTAGTGGGTTGCAACCAGCTCCTTTTTAAAAATATATAATAGAAAATGTATTGCATTTGGTAAGAAGGGGAATTGCTTTATAAAATTTTTGTTTTTATTATCCATCTACCTGTACTGGATCTCAGTGAAAAACATATTTCTTACTGTGGTTCACGGTCAAAAAAGGTTTCAAAACACTGGTGTAGGCAATGCTTCTTTACATGGTGTACTCACTGTTCACAGAGATTCCTTTTTAAATATTATTGCCCAGATGCTGTCTCCCCTTCACATCTATCATTCAAATGTAGGAAAAGGGCTCTACTTTGATCAGTTTTTTTTTAAATCTCTAAACTACTTGTATCCTCTTAAATCTAAACTTTTTCTCTTAAAAATATCTTGACTCTGGAAAGAACTGAAGGTACCCACCATCCTCTGTTTTCCCGGCCCCCGGAATCTACACAGTGCAAGCTTCCTCTATATAGGACTCAGTTTATTTGTGTGGTTCTTCTACCCTGGGCCCTTCCGATGGACCTTATCGGAAAAAAGGAGGAACTCAGAGTGTTGACTTATGCAACAGGGGTAGTTACGGCACACCCGGCCCTCTAGTTCCTCCAAGCGAGCAGGCCATCCTTGGTTTTATGAGAGTTCATAAGTTTACACTTGCCGTTGGTGCTGGCCCACAGCAGGACCCTCTGTACTCCTTGCCCACTCAGAGGGAGAGCCGGAAGTCACTCTCTATACCAACCAGCTTATGGAAGGGAGGAGCAGCAATGAGTCAGCCGCCTGCATGTACCAAGGAGGCATCACAGGAGGCTGGCTGACACTGCTATAGCATACTCAAAGATGGGATGTGTCACCAAACTGTCATTCTAGTCAAGCACAAGGCAGGCAGACCACAGACATGGGCATCAAAAGCGTCTAAATTTGAATCCTAGCTCTGCTTCTGGTTTCTTGCTTAATTCTAGAAGGGTTCCGGGTCACATCAGGAAAGCAAAGAGGTCCTGTTGCCCTCTGACCAAGAACAATGACTTGTGGGTTTGAGGTTGGAAAGGCCCCATGGGGCCGATGAGATCTGGGCTTAAGAATGGAGTTGCTTTTGTTTTACCTTCGGCTCTCCCAAGAGCTTTTTTATTTTGTCCTTTCCTGGGCTTGGAAAGGTGGCCAAACTGGCCAGCAGAGAAATCACCCTGGGGACTGACAGTGCTGTGGGGCCTGAATGACAGAAAGGAATAAAGCGTCCCCGACCCTTTGGAGGTCCCCAAAGGAGGGGGTTTTGTGGGACTGCTGGTCAAGGTTTCCTCAGGGCTTGTGGGGAATGGTCCTCAAGTCTCTTCTCTGCCCTACAGCTTCAATTCCCCCCAAATGCTCTTGCTGTGGGTGGAATCACACAAGACCAGGGCTGAAATCAGCCCCAGCCAATGATACTTTACAGCCCCCTTTGGGCCTATTGCGAGGCAGTATAGCCCAGAGGTGGGGAAAATCACTCTGGGTGCCCTCCCAACCCTAGGTTTCTGTCTTTATTTGATAGACAGCTGAATTCTTTTCTATTCTTGCCTATGGAGATCCCCAGGTCACTATTTTGCAGGTACAAGGTTACCTGTAGTTGTCAGCAGAGATGTTTGTGTTGACCCCAGATATCTGCAGTCCTGCCCAGGTGGCTGGTGAAGCAGAGTTCCCGGGGAAGGCCTCCGCAGGCTGCCTGGGCCTCTTCCAGGACGGGCTTAACCTTCTTCATCCCAGCAGTCCAGCAAGGGCCCTGAAGCTTGCAGGCCTCTTGGACCCCAAGATGGCTGAGGCCGGGCTGCCTGACAATGACTCTCAGCAGTTGAGTTTTGAGAAACATTTTTCTTTATGGAAAGGAAGTGACCATTTCCCTCTTCTCCTCCTGCCCCCACCACCAAATTATGCTATATATCGAGTCAGTTTGACTCCTTCACCTCCAAAACAAGTGGCCTGAGCAGAGGGTACTGGGGATAGGCATGGCTCTCTCACCCAGGACTACCTAGAAGGCTGTGAGCTGCCCTGGGGCGGCGGCCACCTGAACACTGCCGGCCTCTCCTCACCTGGGCTCACTGTGTGTTTCCCGGAAGGAGGTGTCCAGCTGCGTCTCTCACATCTCTAAGGCAATGTTAACTTGCTCCTGCCCACAAACAAACAGACCTCTCTAGGTTTCACCTGTAATTTAGTAAGAAAAGCATTTATAGACTATTTTATGCAATCTCAAGCAGGAGAAAGAGAACTGAAACTCAGCAGGCCTGGGATCTTGTCTCAACTCTGTTACCAAATAGCCACTGGCCCTTGGGAAAGTCATCTAACTTCTCTGGATTCTGTTTCTTCACCTGTGAAATGGAAGATCAGGCAAAATTATCTCCATTTTCACTTAAGTCCCCAGCTCTAATGTTCTGGGATTTTGCAAAAGGTTCTATATGTTTTAGTTGAGTATTATTGTCTTTCCCCACTGGCTGAACGGAGCTTAACGTGATTCATTTATTCTTGAGAACATAATGTGATGCTAGTCACTGACAGCCATCTTAGGCAGCATTTGTGCCACTCTAGGAAGATTTTCTTCCTCATTAGACACTGCTGAAGTCTTAGGAAGTTACTTAGAGAGTATGTCTGAGGGTGTCAGGTATTAAAGTGGGTGATCGTGATACAATGAGCAGGCCTGTCTGCTGATGCTCAGCGGTTGGTTCTTGTTGTTTCTGGCCATCCTTTTCTCAGTGGGTTTGTGACTCTAACTCAGAAGCAAGCAGAAAAACAGGAACAGAAAGGCTAGGTTACTTCCCAGAGCGCTGTATCTGTGGTCAGTTATCTGCTAGAAGAACGCTGGGGCCACCTAGGTTCTTTACAATTGCATGTCCTTTACTGGAGAGGTACAGGCACATCAGGGTTCAGCGCGGGCTCTGAAGCCACCTGGTCTGGACTGATTCTCAACTCTGTCAAGTTCGCTGTGTGAACTTGGGCAAGGTGACTAACCCAAATTCCTCATCTGTAAAATGCAGATAATAGTGCCTGCTCTGTAGGGTTGTTATATGGATTCCAGGAGTTGATTTAGAGCATTTAGAACATAACCTGGTACATAGTAAGCAATGTCTATGTTAGGTGATACTATTATTATTACTCTTCCAAAAATGATTCCTGGAAACCTGAAAAGGAATACTTCACTCCTGACTTCTTTGGATAAGCAAGAGAAGAGCAGGCATCCTCTTATTTCTGTCTCCTACTAAGTTCTTTCTATGGGCAGACCACAGCTGAGTCCATCTCACCAAGGTTCCCCGCACTTCCATGACCCCCACCCAGCAACCCCATTAGGCCAGGGACCTTCTTACCCTAGCAGAGGAAGTTTAGGGTCCCAGGCCCCTCACTCCTGGCCTCCCCACTCCACTGCTGGGACTTTTCCCTGCAGCTCAGGACCACCAGATTTTCTTCCCTGCTGTCACTGCTGACCTCTGCACTCTCTCCACCACCAGGAACCTCCTCCCTTTTCCTCTCCCCCTCCATGATTATGGGGCCAGAGCTGAAGGGGAGTTGAGGGGACTTTTCTACTTGGGCTCCACCCTCTCTTGAGTGTCTGGGTTGGAACTTAGAAAGCATTTTCTCCTTATTTACAAATGGTCATTAGGCTTCCTCAGGCACCAGTTTTAACATTCAGCTTTCCAGGCAGACACGTTTGTCTAACTTCTCTGAAAAGCAGCAAGTTCATAGGCTCACCATTGACCAGTATGTTGGTCCAGGCTCTTTCTGTGCACAACTGGAAGCCCTGTAATGTTAGCACCAACTTGAGAAGCAAGAGCAATGCCGTTTCATGGATGTCATCCAAAATGGTCTGACTCTGAACCCAAACAGCTATATATGTTCCTCAGACCAGGAGTAAGAAATACAAAGAGGCTCAACCAGCAACAGTCACAACTACCAATTAATGATTATGGTAGAACTCCCAAGGCAAAGCCCCACTGGATATTTTATCCACTCTCAGGAATCACCACCATCATAGTGAACATTTTCCAAAGCAAGCACTTTTATATGGTGTTTTGTCTGAGACTGTACACAGAGCACTTTAGTGAGCAGATCTCTGTCTTCTAAGAAGCTGCAAAGGCTGACACATATAAATCTACAGCAATACATGTATTTTCCCAGCGGAGTTTAGAATTGGTACTTCCTGGTTATATCTGAAGAGCTCTTTGAAAAGGGTTAGCCATGGGCTAGCCAAGTGGCTCGGTTGGTTAAGAGCGCGAGCTCAGCAACAGCGTTGCCGGTTTGATTCCCACATGGGCCAGTGGGATGCACCTGAGCTGAGCTGCTGCTGAGCTGCCAACAGGTGGCAGGATGGCTCAGCTGGTGAGAGCTCGTCCTCCTAACAACAAGATTGTCGTTTTGACTCCCTCATGGGATGGTGGGCTACACCCACCCACAACTAAGATTGAACACGGCACCTTGAGCTGATCGGCCACAAGCTGCCAACGGGCAGCCCAATGGAGACTGGACTTGGAGCTGAGCTAGCTGTGCCCTCCACAACTAAGATTGAAGGACAACTCAGCTGTTCCCCTTCCCCAATTCCCCAACACTATTCCCCTTCCCCAATTTCCCAATAAAAAATCTTTTTTAAGAAAAGGGGTGGGGGGTGGGGGTTAGCCAATGATGTATGTGTGCACGTGCGTGTGCCCGCACATGTGTCTGTGTGTGGTAGGTAGTGAGGACAGGTGGCTTCAGGTGTGGCCATGTGTGCACTAATACAGAATACAGGTGCATATAAGTAGTGATTTTCATTGCATGTAAATAAAACAAGATCTGCAGGCAGACCTGGACTCATTTGACTCATATCCCAGTTCTACAAATAACATTACAAAGTAAATCTCAGGGTAATAGTTCATGTTCTTTCTTCAGTAAGTATACAATGAGATTCACATATAAATTAAAGACTTGATGAGTTTGCTGAAATATAATTTGATTTTTATATATTACACATAACACACACATATATTAATACTATTTTAACTAAATGAGAAACATGACAGACATGCTTAGCTCCCTTATTTACCAAATACTTGGTCAAAAATGGACAAAGTAACACTTCAGATTCATCAAATTTCTGATTGATAAGTTAAAATGTTAACAGTTACACTGTTTAAACAATGCCTTATTTGGAGATATGAAGTCTGTCCCATTATAGGCATCGCAGACATACTTGCCTCAATCTTCTCCCCGTTCCTATGAATTGCTCTATTTTTGCAGTGTTTTATTGTGGTCAAGGTCATATGACCACTTGGCAACAAGGCTGGGGTTAGAATACCAGTGTTGAACTCCTAGTCTATTGCTCTTTTCACTTTACCACTCTACCTTTATTTAGTAGAGGATTCAATGCAAAAGGAATTAAGCAAAGGAGCTAGTTGGTATCAGGTGTTAACCTGGAAGTAACTTAATGTTCAAGAGTCTATACCATCTCTGAGGATTGATGGACATCCAAAAGCAGGGACAGAGTGAAAGTGTAGGGCAGAGGGGACATATGCCCTCAGGCATCAGCATATGGAGGCCCCAATAAGACGTGAGTGTTTGTAAATTCCAATGCCAAAATTATGGTATGTAGCAAGAGGAAAGGTGTCAATTTCCCCTGGGCACCATTTTCCCTCACCATGCCACTCACTGGCTAAACCCAAATGCAGCTCCCTACCAAGGTTAGCTCCACATCAGGCCAACCAGACACCATCCCAGAACCCAATTCTACCTTAGGATTCTGGCTAATTGGGGCCAGTGGTTCTGGCATTGAGAATGTCCTGTGTTTTTAAGGGTTCCTCAATCTCTGGGGTCTAGAGATGTTCCTGTTCTCATCAGACCTCCCATCTTACAGAACTGAAGTCTCCACGAAGACTGACTGTGAGGGCCACATGAACCAGGCTGCATTCTGTTAGCCCGCCCAGCTCCCGTGGACCTTTGGGTTCTGCACAAGGACACATTCTGAGGAATTCCTCTGGCTGCGTGTGTCAGAACTTCAACCCCTGTCTCACTTGGGAACCTGTGGCTTGACCTAGCGTGGCCCCCTCTAGTCAGACATGTCAGTTTGCCTGTCTAGTCTGTGACATTTTCCCAGCATGGGGCCCTTGGCTTGTTTCAGCCCTGGCAGTTGGGCAGAATGTACAAACTTATCTTTCAGGGGACACTGATCTGGACAATTCAGCCTCATTCGGGAGACCCTGCCCTTAGAGGGTACGACTTTCCTGAGTTCTTCTTTGAACAGGACGACCCTTTAAAAAACTTCCTAGCCTTTAAAACACTAACATTAAAAATCGAGTAACACTGTATTGTGGCAGATAGCAAGGACTCACAGGGTTTCTTATTTTTCAGCTCCAACCTCTGCTGCCCAGACACAATCTTTTTGCCATCTGTGTCAGGTTAGTTACAAAGCACTGTTATTATTCTGGGCTACACAATGTTGGCCCAACCTACCCGAACACAAGAAATTTTGCTGATTGATTTAGTTATTCTGTTCATATAAACGAATCCAGTTGTACAGCTGTTTCTGATTAGCCAATGTACTGCTGGAGTTATATACAAATAATTTCATAATGAACTCAGCAACTACCAGGACAGGAGAAATGGAATCTAATCTCACCTCCCAGAAAAACAAGCAGGAGCAACAAGGGTAGAGGTTTTCAACAACGCTCCAGGT